TTTCGATATCTACAGGAAGTCAGATAATTCAGGATGGAAGGAGCAGTAGAGATATAAAACAGAGGAAACACCTCAGGGTCCAGTTACCTTTAACAAAAATGCCTCTGTACGAGGGCGAAATGTGGACGGTGAGCGTGGCGGAAAAGAAAAGTTAGGTTAGCGTTCAAGATGTGGTGTTGCAGGCGAATGATGACGATACCATGGATGGAGAGGCTAGAAAGGAGAAGGTGTTAGAAAGGGTAGGTCAATAAGAAATAGGAGAGATAGGTTGAAAGGACACCCTAGATATGGAGGGCTAGTTAGAAACACATATTGAAAGCAGATCTAGAAGTTAAGAGGGGTAGAGGTAGACCTATTGCTCACAAATAGTTAAGGGAAATGCAAATATAGATCAGGATAGGAAAGAGTTGAGGTACGTGTCCAATCAGTCTTAAGACTGACGACCCTATGGTGATGTCTATGGGTTGTAAAGACAGATACTATTTCTTCAGTCTTATTACACAAATTTTTAAATAATAAAGGGTTATTATTGTATCCTATATGTAGGTGTGATGTTAAATCATGGTAAGAAGATTCGAAATACGGAAGTAACAATAACATTTGTCTATATATACACTTATGTACGTATAGAACATTGTGAGAGGTGGTTTGCGGCTGTGTTGTTCGCCTTCTATCAGGGAGTTTGAGTCGGGATTTGGATTGAATCCAAGTAAATAGCTGTAGTCATCACGTGATCGTCCAATTATTTTAATCAAATTGAAAAGCCACGGTAACGGAATCGACCGCTTTTGCTGCTTTGATGCTGACGCGTTCGTTTGGCCCGATTCATTCCTCAAAATACGTTCACTGATCGCGTCTCCTTGCCCAGAAATGCAACCGATGCATCTACACTTGATGGTATTATTTACTGGAATTTGATAAAGGGCATTTCAAATTCAGCTAAGCTTCGGAATCCCGGATACGTAGTTTCGATATCTTCTTAATTAATCAATCACGAAAATCGACCAAGTGTCAAATGGAATAATCTAATTTTGTATCTTCCTGAAGGAGGGGATTAAGATTTGTCTTCCACAATCTTTAATTGCCAGTTAAAAATTCAGTAAAACAGTACAATCTTTCACCATGAAAGCAAACTATTTTACATGACTACCAAGAAGATTAGAGGCAGGAGCAGTAACTTAATCTGAAGGCGATAGGTCAAAAAAGCATTATCATTAGTAACGAAATACATAAAGTGAAAACGTGAAGAAACATATACAAACAATTGATCCTCGTAGTAGGTAGTGTGGGATTCCTGAGAAGAATCCTTGGATCTACCAACTAAAACTCCTTAACCTCAGGCTGTTCTGTGGTCAATGAAGGTTTTCTTCAGCCGATGTGGATATGATAATTTTGTGTGTGTGTGTGTGTGTGTGTGTGTATGTGTAGGGTGGTAGGTGGGTGGGTGGTAACGGGTGGGTTGGTGGATGCGTGTGTGTGTGTCGTATATGTATTGTGTGCAGATAAAGGAATGAGAAGATATGTATAGCGGTTTTTGGCTTGTTACGTTATTTTTTTGATGGAGGAAGAAAAGTAGACACTATAATGAAAGCTTTTATATATTTAGAATATTCTTTTGCCTGAACGTGTCCGAAATTGTAGCGGTTTATTACTTGTTAAGGAAGGAATGCCGCATGAAGTCATAAAATGTAGCCAGTCATTTGTAAGTTTGATTTATTCCTTTCTGAAAGGACTCAGTTTCGAAGAAAACTGACTCATGATGGGTAGGTATCTTTCTCACAAGTGCAGGCCAGTTATTAAGTACTTAGGTAATTCCTGGGTTAATTTATTGTTTCGTATACTGTGGTACAGCTTCAGCAGGTAGTAGAATTATTTTAGTTGGATAAAATTTTTGTAAAATTGTGTACATCGACAGTACATATTACAGCATAATTTAAATGAATCACATTCCATCGAACAATGTGAAAGAGAAATGTTTAACATGTTCCACATTTTATTCGATTTTAGATTTATTGAATTCCGATTATCAGATCAAGTGAAGTGTAGGGTAATATCTAGATCTTGACAAAAAATTGAATCACCAGAAGCAATGCTATGCATATATTATAAATACCGTAATTGCTTATCTAACGGCGGGCAAACAATGATACTATTGTGTACATATAATGCATTAAACATTGTCATTGGTGAAACTTTAGCACCCAAAACTAAACACGTATTTGGTTAATGATTAATCGATACTTTAAAAGATGTTTTTTGTGTGATTTCACGGTTAGTAGGCCGCCATGAATATTAGACAATAGACACCCATGTACATTGTTCTTGTTCGTATTACAGAGATAATTTGACATATATGTAGCTGACTACTATTAATATTTCAACAAAACAACGAAGATGCAAGGAGTAAAACTGAATTCCAGGCACTGAAAATGAAGATTTTCTTGCCTTTTTGCTTGAAAGTAATACTAAATTGTTGCAGTTTCCTTTGCATATTCGTAACGCTTACATAGTTTACTGTATCTACAAACCATTAGATTTGCCTCTTATTAATTGAACGGGTTTAGCAAGTATTGATATCGTTTCTGGACGAACAAAGGAAGAAAGGAAGTGGTGTGCTTTTGTTCCTTATCTTGTAGCTTATCGAATTGGCTAAGTAACTTGATATTTTTGTTGATTACTATAAACTGATCCTACATCGAAAGACAACAGCATCTCAGTGAATTGCACAAAGAAAGCTGGTAAAAATAAACTGGTGGAATAAAGGTTTGTTTTCTTCATTATTTTACTGTATTACAAAGTGTAAGACAACAAAAAGTGCTAAGGAGGTCAATAAGGAATAGGCGAGATAAGTTAGTAGGAAAAGTAGGTAGATAAAGTTTCTGTTGTTGTTGTTGTTGGTGCTCTAGTTTGTGAGAAATATGAAAAGAAGTAGAGATGGGCGTCCAAGCAGTCTTTGGTGTTACTGATAGTAACTTGCGACCAGATGGAATGCTTATTAATAATGCTGAGATATTCTGAAAATATCAATTTGCAACCGTTTTTTTTTTTAATATTGAACAACTTCGTACTTAATTTTCAACGCCTAATTAATTTGTATACTGTCAAGATCTCGAAACATAAACATTTAATAATAAGAAAGTCAACATGCCAATTCCTCAAATCGCTTTGTTTATAGTAAAGGTAAAATGTGGTGTCATCTCGAAAAGGATTTGTTGATTATGAATGATTAACCAAAAACAGCTGGCAAAAGCTATTTTGAAAGTCAATCGCAGGATATAATCAGACTGATGGTTTTTGACCATGATGAACACAATTCCATCCTCATGATGGTTGTGGTAACAGTTCTATCAACACTTCTGCATTACACATACATCTCATTAACTAAAATCAAACTTTGACAATCCAAAATCAAACGGAGCATCTAATAAGTCAATACCTAATATCATCATCATAAGGTCATCAGTCCTAAGACTGGTTGGACACGTACCTCCACACTTTCCTATCCTGAGCTAAACTTCGCATTTCCCTAAAACTAGAACAACCCAGTTCCTTCACTATTTGCGAACAGTAATCTAATCTAGGTCTACCCCTACCTCTCCTAACTCTTGTTTCTGCCTCTAATATGTCTCTGACTAGACCTTCATACCTGAGAAGGTGTCCTACCAACCTATCTCGCCTATTTCTTATTGACTTCCATAGAGTCCTCTGTTTTCCTATTCTTTCCAATACCTCTTCATTTCTAACCTTTTCTACCCACGATATCCTCATCATCCGCCTATAACACCACATTTCGAACGCTTCTAACCTTTTCTTTTCCGCCGCTCCCACTGTCCATGTTACGCACCCGTACAACGCCGTGCTCCAAACATACACCTTTAACAACCTTTTTCGAATTTCTAAATTAACCGTTCGCAAGCATAGAAGTGACTTCTTTTTATTAAAGGCGACACGACCCTGCGCTATCCTCTGCTTTATATCCCTACCACTCCTTCCATCCTCACTTATCTGACTTCCTAGGTATCTAAAATCAATCACTTCTTCTAATTTTTCGTCTCCTATATTCGCTCTTTCCCTACTTTTTCTTCCCTTGCATATGAGTATTTTAGTTCTACTTTTATTTATTTTCATACAGTACTGATCTGTCAGTACCGCTTCCATTTTATTTAAAGCTATCTCTAGGTCCTCCTTGCTAGATGCTAATACTGCTATATCTCAATACCTAATAAATAAACTCAAATTAATTTCCACAAATATATTAATAAAAACTTTACAATTGTTTCGCCTCATTGAGATTTCTTCAGAAGTAATTAATTTGAGTTTATTTATTAAGTGATTATGAATTTCCATCAAGAAAACGTAGATTCCATCAATCATAATAAATCATTCATTTATTCCTGAGATGGAGATTCTGCATCACTTCAGGATCGATGCTGGACAAACTTTTTTAAAAGCTTTTCGTGCTGTTTAAAAGCTTCTACTACCAATGACAATTAGTAGCATTTATATTTATTATAAACCTAAATCTAGCATAATCTCTGGAAAATAAGAAAACACTCTTGACAAAATCATATGTTGAAGAGTTTATCTTGGTGGATTTAAATTGATTTTCTTTTAATTGTCATTCCTCATACATCAATAGCTCTTCAAAATTCAGCATTCGCCTAATATCGTCCATGAAGTGTAAAACCTCCTAAAAGCTCCCTCCTTATGCAACCCCGAAACTCCAAAATCGTTCCTCGATATGCACTGCAGGTCGTTTGAAGGTGCATGTATGGTGGGAGTAAAAGTTTGCTGCCCGAGGCGCTGCTACCGCTGTTACGTTTACGTTCTTTTGTGGTACCGTCGGTTCCCGTGCTTTACCGTCAGAACCTCTTCCTTCAGCCTTCGTTCTTCGTTCGTGGTTACGACTTTGTCCGTCCATCCGGCATTCTTGAGGTTCTTGAATAGTGGGAGTGAGCTTCACTGTTAACGCTGCGCTTCTTGACGCGCGCTTCTTCACTGGCATCAGTCGCTCTCCAGTTGTTGCTAGTTGTGGACGCTCCCGCAAAAGCTCAAGAACACTTCCGGCGCGCGATTATTAAACCGTGGAACCCCCGAAATAACAAGCGCGCTCGATTGTTTGTTGTTATCGTAGTTGTCCTAGGTTACCACCACTGCCTGCTTAATCAATAGACTGAATGAAGATTACTTTCCGTTGGTGTTTTTTTAAACTTTTGTGACTGAATTTAATTTACTTAACATTAGGTATATTCTTGTGTGGTCGAGGAACAGTGAGTGCATTTATTATTGTTTCCGTTGCAGTGACCATAAACCGTTTAGCCATTGTTTCAGTCTTCAGTAAACTAAAAAATAAAAAACGATTGTTTTTAACACAAGCAGAGCGATAACGTATTCGTGATAACATTGAACAGTTCTGTGTTTTTTTATACTGTTATGTGATTATAAAATGAACAATTAGACATAAATGTAAGACAGTTATTAGGTCGTTTTCTGCGTTTGTGAATCGTTTTATTTTTCCTTTGGAATTGGTCCCAAAATGAATCTGAAAATCTTCCTCATCATCTTTCTCACAACTTCCACAAATGCGATGGAACTTATCAATGGTGCTTATGATGACTTTGTACTACAAATTTCCGATTCTGTTCCTGTTAAGGAATGTCAACTCGTCTTAGAAAATCTTAAGGTAGGAATTGGAACAAGCAAATCTATTTACTAAATTGTCAATTGGAAGTCACTCACTTCCATGGTGCACTTATGTTACATTAATTCTAAAAGTTTGACTCATTTCTTTCTAAATTACGTACTACTTTTCATTGTCTGATTTAAAGACCATCGTTTTCTAATGATTGCTTCTGTTACCTGGTGATTGATCGTAAGATGGGATTGCCATGTGTTTCCAGACCGGTCTGGACTTTAATAACTCCTCGTGCAACTGTTTTGTTTGTCTTTCTCACAAGCTACAGAGCACAATTTGTTTACACAACACATTACCGCTAAAGCTCATACGGATGTTGAAGTGATTCTACAAATAATTCCGGATTTTTCGTCTGATTTTTCTCAGAATGTCTTTGGGTGCGATTTAAACGTTATTTTCATCGAACAGCATATACGTTTTTGGATTGGAGACACATCTTCGATTTTAAATTGTATTTAGCTTTCTTAATGTATTTTCTAGTTTAAATTGTATCGTAGAAATTACATGCTGACCTCCTAACAATCGTAAATATTTTGCTTTTTGATGATGTTTACTCCAACAAAAGTGCTAGCGTTGTTAGAATGGTAATGTGACATTATTAATTAGCGCATTTTAGCTTTAATTGTGGACGAAATTATCACATGGATACTAAAATGATCGACTACTGCTAATTCCTGTTCTAAATGCAGCTTTTGTAACAAATACTTTTGGAAAATAACATGACAATAAAAATATCAAACTTACAAGGAATGTTTTTAGAAGTTTTAAGTGTGTACTTTTTGGTGTTACCCAAAACAAAACGATATGTACCTATCTACAAAAATTGTGGACCGGTAAAGAAAAATCCAACATATTGAGGTTTGGCTACAATTTGTTTAGACGACCTTCAGATTGTGCATAATTTCGGCAATTGCAACATCGGTTTTTAAATGTCTCTATGCTGTAGATACATAGAAGACACGTGGGATACGTTCCTACGTGTTATTTTTATTTGTTTAAATATCCACAGATTGTTTATCATTAGCATAATCTCGACCGCGTTTCAATTTTAGTTTTGCATTGCAAATCGTTTTTGAATAAATTATTTAAAAAAAGGTTTGGCAGTATCGTCACATACAGTAAAGAACAATTAACAATCATTATTTATTATTAGCAAATGAATTCTTTTGTAATTATACGTCACTGTGGAATTCATAAAAATCAGATTGCGAAGAGGTCCTAAAAGCGACCTTAACTTCTATTTGATATTTCGAATGTTTCGCGTGATCTTTATTCTGTCGTGAAAATTCAAGGTTGTGTTATTTAGAATTTTCTACTTGCAATGTAACGTTGATATTTAGTTAAAACTGACATTTATCGTGTTCTCTCATCATTTCAATTAAAATTCTACTACTAAGATAGGAAGGAGAGGTGTCTTCATGTGACCTTAATCATAGTTGAGAACCACTTGGGGTATTTGGTGCAGTTTTCATTGATATTCATAACAGGGGCGTCATTTCAAAAATTAGTTGTATATTCATCTACTTCATGCTATGGTGAATCCACTTTTGCATTTATCATTAACAAGAACATTTTAAATCTTTAACCAGTAATCCAATGTACACCTTTGTGTGCTTCTAAAATGACTCTATCTTCTACATCATGTCTCAGAACATGTCGTACCGTCCTCTTCCATTATTTTGCCGTGTTGACTTCCACAGCGTTCCCTATTCTCCTAATTTTTCCAATATCTCCTCGTTGCTAACCTTTTGTATCTACGGTATTTGTATCATCTGAAACGTTTGTATAAATTTTGCTTTACCTTTCGTTCATCGTTATCATTTTCTACCTATACAGAACTGTGCTTCAAACACATTTTTTACATTCTGGGTTATCTGACTGTGTTTTCAAGGAATGGAGTCAGAATCAGAGACGCGTTCAGGGTTATCGTTGAAAAAAAAAAACAGGACCATCAGTCTCAAAGCCCGTATGTTTGAATCTCCGCCTGTTTTGAAGGAATGGAGTCAGAATCAGGGATGGGTTCAGGGTTGTCGTAAAGAAAAAACAGTTCTACCAGTCTCAAAACCCATACCAGCGAATCTCCAGACGAAAGGAATGAGCAGTTTCCGCAGGATTACATTGAATATTCACGTGTTACTTAATGAAGCATAAAACTGTTTTCCTTTTATGTTCGATAAGATTCACTATTTTCTGTTTTTACTAAGGAGAGTTAATTTGAATAAAAGTGAGCAATTAATGTACTTATTTAAAGCATAACAATCGCATTTGGTATCGTGTTTTTTGCTTCGTTTGCTGCTTCCTTGCCCCGTGTGTCAGGGACCATGATGTTGATGATGATGATGATCATGCCGACCGACAGATTCTGACTTACGTACTATGATGTGTAGGTACAAAAACAACAACACAGGAACACGGCCGTTTTCACACTCGAATACACGCGGTCGTCATGGTTTAATGGCAATTTCTTTAAATTAAGTTTGTCGTGGGTGAACTAGAAACAGGACTTTTCATGCTTCGGTGTCTTTTCTTTCTTGAAGAACAATCTTTTTCACGTCTGTGTGCTTGGAATAAGGAATTCCGCCTTTTGGTTTTAGCTGTATAAATGAAATTGTTGTCGGGAAAGAAATATGATCGAATCAAGTCAAATGCGTGATTAGTCAATTTTCAGTTTCAACGCTTTCGTGGTAGGTATCCCATAAGAAACAACCCGTAATTTTATGAGAATTGAAAGTTAATTTTGGAAGTTATTCATGCTACAAAATTTAATTGAGGACTGAAAGTATAAAAACCGTTTACGTAATATTCAAATTTAATGTTTCGATACGACGATTTGCTATAAATAACAAAAAACAAGATAAGAACCTATAACCATCTAACGGCGAGTGGATAAATTAAACCATGGGTATGTTACGACAGAGTAGAAGAGTAGAAGAAAACTGTAACAGCGGCTCTACCCCTTACCCTTTGTTTGTTTAGTACTAATTGTTTTGCTTGCGAATTAGATAGATTGATATTCTCAATTCCATTTTGTCTAATTCATTTTTAAAGTCCTTTGTCGAAGTGTTGAATGAAAATAAATTTTAGAAGAGCTGTTTTAAAAAGTTACGGTACAAATTTTTCCGAGATGGAGTGCTATCTATATGAAACGTTATTATATAGCAATAATCTAAGTAGGCGTTCTAGTGTAAGGATGATGTTCAACTTGATTGAAATTTCACGATCTGCCAGACCTTAAAGCTGGAGAATGGGTTTCCTCGCGGCATTTTCGTTATTAAATTTGAACGTAACTGGCTGTTCGCTAGGTGCCATATGCTGCTTTTGCAGAGCTGTAGATAATAACAGAACGAATACCACTTATTTAATATCGCCGCTTTGGAGTACCGCAAGGGTTTTGTGTTACCCAGTTTTGTAAATTGGTATCTCGAGAATGCAGATAAACCAATTTAAATACGAAATAAAAGAATACAGTATTAAATTCAAGGTATCAAATCATGAACAGGTACAGTTGATGTCATTGGATATAAAAAAGTTTTTGTTGTATGTAAAAAANTGACCCGCCCCAGCTTCGCACGGGTGCAATGCTGATACTAAATATATTTTTGTTTTGTTTAGATTATTATCGAAAAGGGGAAATCTTCAAAAGATACCCCCTGAACATACTTCATACACAGCTGTAGATAATAACAGAACGAATACCACTTATTTAATATCGCCGCTTTGGAGTACCGCAAGGGTTTTGTGTTACCCAGTTTTGTAAATTGGTATCTCGAGAATGCAGATAAACCAATTTAAATACGAAATAAAAGAATACAGTATTAAATTCAAGGTATCAAATCATGAACAGGTACAGTTGATGTCATTGGATATAAAAAAGTTTTTGTTGTATGTAAAAAAGTAATTAAAATTTGCCCTCCTGTGAATAGACAACAAATTAAAAAGGATAATTTAGAATTTCAAGGGTCATAACCTTGAGTTGGTGTAGATATTTTTGAATTTTTGAGATGGAACACCATGAATGCCATAACCATCTCTCCTTGCCGATTTCGCTTCGTTTTGTGGTATCGTTATAGGAAACAGGATGATGATGATTTTGCTAGTGTTAGAACTGTTTACTTTATTGTAATTTTTATTCAGAAAATAATAAAACGTTACGTTTCAATGGCGAGGACATGACCAATTGGGTACTGTAAAACGAAAATTATGCGTAAAGGATTGTGAAAGTTTATTATTTCCTAAATTGATTGAGTGCCTATTGCAATTGGTTTTTGTTACAATGAGTTGTGGTATTCATAGCTTTCTATGTCGAAAAACCGAAATACGAGGGTGGATTGATAAGTTTCCGGCCTAACCAAGAGATGACGCCACTAGGCCTACCTTGAGGTGACATTCTATAGTACCATCCTTGGATAGCTTGTAGCTATAGTTTCAGCCCGATCTCCTTGCTAGTGTAGGTTTGACAGCACGCTGAACAAGACGCCTCTGTGGTTTTCGTAAAAATGGAAAAGCAGGAAAATCGTGCTGTCATCAAATACTTTTATTTGAAGGGGTTAACGCCGAAGGAAATTAAAAAAGAGATGGACTCAACACTGGGGACATCCTCCCCGTCATATTCAACCGTTAAGCAGTGGGTTTCCGAGTTTAAAAAGGGTCGTGTGAGCACCTCTGATGGGCCTCGCTCAGGACGCCCCGTTGAGGTCACAACTCCAGATATGATCGAAAAAATTCATCAAATAGTGCTGGGAGACCGCAGATTGAAAGTGCGTGAGATAGCTGAGACCTGTAAGATGTCATATGAACGTGTGCAACATATTTTGCACCAACATTTGCATATGGAAAAGCTCTGTGCAAGATGGGTGCCGCGTTTGCTAACAGTCGACCAAAAATTGATTCGAAAAAACATTTCTACCGCAAATTTGTCATTGTATAAGCGTAATCCAAGCGAATTTTTGCGTCGATTCGTAACCGTTGACGAAACGTGGGTCCACCAC